TGATGAGCACGGCTAGCCCCAGTCCAATGTTCGTTCTTTAGCCTTCTTGTAGTAAGCACTGCTAGCCTAAATTCGATGTAGGTTCCCAGTCTTCTTGTAGTGAGTACTGCTAGCACCAGTTCATTGCTGGTTCACCAGTTTTATTGTAGTGAGCATTGCTTGTAACAGTTCGAAGTTGGTTCACCAGTCTTCTTGTAGTGAGCATTGCTCGCCCCAGTTCATTGCCGTTTCTCAAGTATTCTTGTAGTAAGAACTGCTCGCTCCAGTTCGATGTTCATTCATCAGCCTTCTTGTAGTGAGTACTGCTCGCTTTAGTTCGATGTTCATTCATCAGCCTTCTTGTAGTGAGCACTGCTCGCTCCAGTTCAATGTTCGTTCACCAGCCTTTTTGTAGTGAACACTGCTTGCCTCAGTGGGATGTTCGTTCACCAGTCTTCTTGCAGTGAGTACTGCTCGCTCTAGTTCGATGTTCATTTACTAGTCCCCGTGTATTGAGCACTGTTCGCCCTAGTTCATTGCTGGTTTACCAATCTTCCTGTAGTGAGCACTGCTCGCCCAAGTTAGATGTTCGTCCACCAGTCTTCTTATAGTGTGCACTATTCGCCCAAGTTTGATGTTCTTTCACATGTCTTCTTATACTGAGCACTACTCGCGCAAGTTCGATGTTCGTTCATCAACCTTTTTGTAGTGACCAACTGCTAGCCCAAGTTCGATGTAGTTTACCAGTATTCTTGTAGTGAGCACTACTCGCCCCAGTTCAATGCTCGTTCACCAACCTTCCTGTATAAAGCACTGCTGGCCCCAATTCGATGTTCGTTCACCAGCCTTTTTGTAGTGGGCAACTACTCGCACCCGTTCGATGTTCGGTTACCATTTTTTTTAAGTGAACACTGCTCGCCCTAGTTCATTGATGGTTTACCAGTCTTCTTGTACTGAGCATTGCTCGTCCCAGTTCATTGCTGGTTCACTAGTCTTCTTTAGTGAGCACTGCTCGCCCTAGTTCCCTGCCGGTTCACCAGTCTTCATGTAGTGAGCACGACTCGCCCCAGTTCGATGTTTGTTTACCAGTCTTCTTATTGTGAGGACTTCTCGCCCCAGTTCAGTGGGGCTGAAGCCTCAAAGACACAGAAGGAGATGACAGATCCAAACCTGCACAATGAGAGGAAACGAACTAGCCGGCCAGATAGACAAACATTATGGCGGCCAAAAACACACCCTAACAGGGCCTCAGCCACATGTAAATTGCGGACTTCTGCTGCCACCGCCAAAAGTATCTCCTACGCCGCTACGCAGAAGAGTCCCAGCCATCTAGTTTAGCCCCGCTCCACGCCGCCCGTGAGATACTCTCGGCGTTGACCGTAGTCGCTGGAAGTCCGCAATTTAAGTCGCCGGAAGTGCGCAATTTACTGTAAGGGTGTGTTTTTGGCCACCTTAATATGTGCCCGTTATTCGGTGGGTTTCGATCGCGGTACGTTAGAATTCACACAAGTGTGGCTATATCTAAATGCAGGAAGCACTAGCAAATTACACCGATTTTGTGATTGCCTGCACTTGTAGTTGAATGTATGTATGTATATAGGTTGTACCCCACCAGCACATCACACAGAGCGAGAAAGACCCGGTGACACAGGGTGCTACCTTGCGGATGAGGATCGCCCGTTGAGAGGTCCCAGAAACCCCGTTCAGCCGTAAGGCCATATCTATGGTCCGACTTTATTTTAGCGCCCCCGGCAAAAGCCAGGGTGTGGCTATAAAAAAAGAAAAGTTGCATCCCACATGGGGGCGGCATGATTTAATAATTATGGTTGAATGATAAACCTACTTAAACCATCTTTTAAAAATGGACGTATTTACATGCTGAACAAACTATGCATACATTAACATGTGATATGATTTCAGGAGAGGCTGTTTGGTCTTGAGGCATGGTGTCCGCTTTGAGTGCTAGAGGTCCTGGGTTCAAACCCCAGAGAAGGTTGGGATTTTTTCACGTGGACTTCTAGTAATTTCCTCTGGTCTCTGGGTAGTGAGATCGAACGCCCGTGTTCATTGTTGTGCACGTAAAAAAATCTCTTGGCAGTTGGAAATCAAAAGAGTAGCCTAACGTCGCTGCCCAGGCAAAATTAGGAGTTAAAAAACTACCCAAAGTATTTTAGGATCCTCACCGGCTCATCAGAGTTCGTGCACTGCGCTGAAAATCTCAGACACAGACTTGAGTTAGAAGAAGAACGAAGCACGTATGGGCTACACCCGTGTGCGATGATGCTGATCCGTTGAATAAATATAAATATAAACGATTACGGAGACTGGAGATATCGAAGAAAACTCCTTTTTTCAAATTACGGAACGACTGAATGCCCATTGAAGCAGTAATCTCCTTTAACAATGAACTTTCACCCTTGGTAATCTTAGTTTCAGTTTCATAGCAAACGGGTCACATTATAGTTGCTCCGCTCCTGTGCCAACAAAAATACACAAAATGTTTATCACAGTTCTTTGTGGAAAGATCAACAGACTGCTGTCTCAGCATTTGCACTAGCATACACACGCATTAAAAGCATACGGTAGCCATCTTAAGTGCTAACACAAACAGTCCGACATTAGAAATGCAGTTCATCATCGATGGTAGCAGAAGTCACCAACAGATCAACACGCGATCAATTAATCACATAATGGCACCACCAATATTGCGACAAGAGGCATTGCGCCATTTTTTGAATTTTCAATTGACACCACCACGTTGGTCACAGTTGAAAAACATTCTAAATGAAATCCGCATCTCAAAGTATCACGCTATGCACTCAACTCAGAAGCTGGGCGACGAAACTTTATCGTTTCAGTCTACAAATGAAGCAAAAATGCAACGGCCACGTCTGGCATAAGCAACAAATTTTTCACGACTTAGAACATTGACCGTGCCTAGCGTTCATTTAGACCGGCTTTTTGTGGGGATAAATGCTTACCACAGTGTAAATACACTTACTTGTCTGGACATCACCGACTAATAGCATTTATTGGCTGTTAACTGGTCTTAAGTTGAAAGCAGCAGATGACCTCACATAATATTTACTGCAACACAAGTAAAGGATCCTTTCCCCACGATTTCAGGCGTATAGGGCATATAGGGCTAGACTTAAATTTTATAGACCAATCGGCACTTGGTGGGTGATGTGATCAATACCGCTCCAGTCACCTTTAGTTTCCAGTAGGGCTGTACCGAATATTCGCTTCGTATTCGCTTCGGGGCCGAATAGTGGACCTATTGACCATTCGGTATTCGGCCATATAGTTGTGGTCGGGCCGAATACGAATAGTAGTTACCTTACACCCGCTTCTGCATACACAGCTTAATAGGGGGGGGGGGGGGTGTCTTTAGGGAGTAAAAGTGTTAAAGTTAAAATCTGCTTGGAAAAGAAAGAGTTAAAAACAAGTAAAAATGAGTATGGACCTTTTCTACGATAGTGGCGCATCAGGCATATGGTAGGTAGGTAGGTGCTTTGCTGGGGAAAAATCGTCACGTTCTAACAGCATCCACGAAGGGGGAGCTTTATGTTATAATTGTGGCTAGATCCTGTGCGCCAAATACAATGGCTTAGCACTACACGCCACAAAGAGCCATTAAAATGAATCCTGCAGTGTTGATGCGATCAAAGGAAACAGACCCAAAGACTGTCCCGACCGGTGACGAAGTCGTCTATCAGCGAGCTAGTGAGCGACCCGGTCGTTGATGCGAATGATGAGCATACTGTGCTAGACACATGTTTTTATGGCCAGTCTGTACTCGGTGGATGATGTAGTCAACACCGCATCTACAGCCTTCATTTTTTCCAGGACCGTTCCTAGTACCAATAGTACTGTTTGAGAATAAGGAGACGTTATAGGTTGACTGGACTGTTCCCACTTTTACTTACTGCACCTGCATCTGGCAGACGTGACCTCTCGCCTGTATGACAAGGCAACAAGTAAAATGGAAGATACTGAAAACAAGCGCCTGGAGAGTATGATGCAGCGGGGAGTGTCTGCGGGCTCTGTGTGAAACTAGAGATTCGAAAGGTGGGGGAAGTGGGGGGGGGGGGGGGGGGGGGTAAATAAGTAGTTAAGCAGACGACAACCATCATAATGGAGACTTCGCCGACTGTTCAGGAATGAGACGGAGCTAATAAAGGCTTATCCTGAATGTTGTGTTGTCGAATATTTGCTCAGTGTCTAGTACCCATTGTAGACTCGATTGACTTTGGAGCACACCTCAATAAATTTTGTCTTTTTGTTTTTAAAAACCACTTCCAAGGGGATTCGAACACATGCTGGCCAATGCCCTACACTGACACCGCTATCTCGAAATCTTCATTTTCAGTCTTTTATCCCCGAAAAAAAGTATACGTCCCCAACAACAGGTATCATGTTGACCATATCCTTTGGCATCGCTCATTCCATGTCATGTCCATCAAATTAACATATACTTACTTCTATTCTCGGTGTTGTTTTGTTGTATGTTATTGACACCTTTTCGTATTTCCAGACTAAGGTATTTTGTTGAACTATATAGGGAAGTATGGAAATCAAAGCAAACGGTGATGGCGGGTGTCATTAGCCTTCCACGATAAATGAGTTACATTTCAGGATCATTACTGCTCTCACATGTATTTGACATGTCTAAGTTTAGACGCCTAGTTCTCAACCTGTGTCTAACCCCTTTGTTCATATGTCCTCCCCCACGCAATGTGATCCATGGCATCTTGTTGCAATGAATTTACCTCAACAACTGTATCATTCATGTCCCGCTTTTACTTTTTTTGTAGATCAAAGTAAGGACCTGCTACGTCTGAATATTTTTCCTTATCTTTCTTTCACGAAGTACTTATAAATTATTGCTTGCTGTGACTTTCTGTTTAAAAAAAAATCCCGCTTTTAAGCACGCAACACAATAAAGATAACAAATGCAGTTTCTTAAACTGGCAGGAATTTAATGAACAATGTGAAAGTATATGCATAACATAATAGATTTAGCCATATCGTTTATAAGGTGATCCAACCTTTGCCCCTGAAATGGAAGAATAAGACAGTGTTAAAAAGATGTAACAATTTCATTAATTTCATAACGTGTTTAAAATGGCGAGAAGTTTCATGGGTGCAAACCTCAATAATGGCGGGATTCCCCTCAAAGAATAGTATTTCTTCTGCGTTCTTACGAAGCTGTAAATACTCTGTGTCCGTTTCAAACATAGCTGCGATATTTGCAACTTTCGGCCGACACATCTGACTTCTGCAAGCATTTGATGCCCGGCTAAGCCGTCTCGGAGAACTGTAAGTACATCACTGGAAAGAGTGTGGTAGTTACACGCTCGCCTACCGACCCGGAGGTTTTGGCTTGAAATCCGCATCTACTCTATACTCACCCAGGGAGCACACACACACACACACACACACACACACAAGGACATATTGGGCATATTGGGCGTACAGGGCTAGACCCAATTGCATGCGGGGACGTCCTAGGACCAAGGTAAATTTTGGAAAATAAAATAAGTCTGGTTCCATTCGGATTCGAACACACAACGTAGCATCTAGCCGCTACATGGTGACAGCTCCCTGAGTATGAAATGCCAGACCTATAGTGTATAGCCCAGTCAGCACTCGGTAGGTGTTGTGCTCCATATCACGCCGACTGTCTCTATTTGCTAGTATATCATCTGGTACCTATTTAAGTTTGGGTCGACTTAGAAGCCAGTGTTGAAATCCGTATCTAGTCTGATTTTGATAAGAAAAACTGACAATGGCTTCTTATCGATCATTCAGTTTAGCCCCTCCAAGTTGCTACCTAAAGGTTTACTATCTCATCGTTAATCATTAATTGTTTTGCTGTTAATTTAATGTATGAATTGTTTTGTATTTATTGATGTGCTTTCTTTGAGGTTTTGAAGAACGGATCAACATCATGGCACACGGATGTAACCCATAAGTGCTCCGTTCTTCTTCTAACTCAAGTCTGAGTCCGAAGAAACTCAGCACAGCGCACAGGCTCTGTAGCACAGGTGAGGATCCTGAAATACTTTGGGTAAATTTAGTTGTACACTCGCTCATACTACTGCCCGTCCATCTCTTGATCTCTAGGGATTTCCATGTTCACTAAACGGTCAGTTCTCCATACCATTTTCGAACTCAGTGCAAAGCGATCTGCTGCCGCATAGCATGCAGCTGAACTGAACGGGTTATTTGGGACATGGGAAACGTATTCGCAAAGCCTAAGAAACATACACCGACATAGTCACTTACCAACGTGAATAGCCAGTACTGGATCGTCGCAGTTGCTGCATACATTGATATTAGCCTTGCCGTCACCACCGACTGTCACACTCTTGCCTGTACAGGCGCCATTGACTAAATCACCACTGATGACGTCACAATAAGTACCCGCCGGAAGTCCGGTCTGAAGACAGGACAGTCATGTTGAATGAAATAAATGTGAACATAGATTTTATAAAATTGTATAAATTCAAAAGAGGTGAAGAAAGAAGAGAAAGGTCTGAACAACCATAAGTATCAACAGTCATAAGACAGAGAAGATGGTGATACATTGGACACATCCTGAGAACAGACGAACATAGAATCAATAAAGTCAATGAAATAGGAAATAGAGGGACTGAGGAAACATGCTACACACATCCAGTTTTAACATATGGCTGTGAATTCTGGACAATCGGTAGGCAGGCCGAACAATTTCTTGAGGCCTCAGAGATGTGGTTTTACAGAAGAATGCTTATAATACCTTGGACAGCCAAAAAGAGCAACCAAGAGGTTTTGAAAGAGGCGGGAGCCCGAAGACAACTTATCACAGACATCAGAAGGAGACAGTCATCATTTTTCGGCCATACTGTGAGAAGAGGGAAAATAGAACCTTTTGTGACCACTGGAAAGATCTGTGGAAGGAGAGATAGAGGAAGACAACGAAAGAAGATGCTTGACAGTCTTGTTGCATAACATGGAGGTGTGTCGGCACACGAACTGATACATGCTGCAGGAGATCGCAGATTATGGAGAGGCATGATCGCCCACGCCAGTCGGCAAGGCACCTGATGATGACGATGATGATGAAACAAGGGCGTCCAAAATAAACCTTGAGGTGAACGTTGATGAGTGAGAGCAAAGATGATGGATTGGATTCCATCCATGATATCCAAGTGACTGCACAGGAAAGAATGAAATTGATAAATAGACTGCGATCCCTATATGACATATAACGGCACATCAGGACAACGAATGAATGATTGAATATGTAATTTGTAACACACGAGAGCACCCAAGAATACCTCTCACTAAAACGCAAAACACTGTATTAATCCTATCCGTTTCTTCTAATCCCCCCCCCCCCTTTCCACGTTGCATCTTTAAAAGGGTTAAAATCGGAGTTGTTGGTAACGTTTGCATATTTATCAAAAATAAAAAATAAAAAGAATTCAGACTGTACAAAATGCTAAAAACATAACAACTGCATATCTAAAAAAAAAAAAAAAATACAATTACGTTAAAATTAGGGCTGTACCGAATATTCGCTTCGTATTCGCTTCGGGGCCGAATAGTGGACCTATTGACTATTCGGTATTTGGCCGAATAGTTAAAGTCGGGCCGAATACGAATAGTAGTTACCTTACACCCGCTTCTGCATACACGGCCTTAATACTGAAAACATGGAACGATTGGTTTTGCTGAAAGCTTATGCAGCTTTCATGCATTAACTAGGCTGTCAGTGACAATTTCCAAGTTTAGTTACTTGTTATGATTCTTGGAACTCTTGTATTCCTATTTATTAGTTATCACAGACTGACTGAAGGATGTTTATTATTCTGTACGAATACTAACAAGAAATGGAAGGAATATAAACTCCAGCCACATAAAAGTTGATAATATGAAAATCAAACGAACGAAAACATATAAGCACTTGGGTGCACTTCAACTGCTCCAACATGCTGACAGAAGAAACACGATCTGCAATACAATCTAGATAAGACTAGACTAGTCGTTTTATATGGCTCTGAAACTTAAGCAGGCATCATGAGAGCTAACCGACTGAAATGGTTGTGGCATATTGAAAGAATGTCAGATGACAGAGAAGTAAAACTGTATACACCTGAGAGAGGAATGGGCGTAGACCACGAGGCAGACAAAAAAGAAGTTCGAGAGATAATGTCTAGCCAGACCTGCAAACAACTGGTGTCACAAATTGTGAAGAGAAGGCCAGTCAGAGAGATGAATGGAGACGAGTGATATCTGCAGCAGTAAACCTCAAGGGCTCAGAATCCTTAAGTAGAAGATGACTATTATGTGCTACTATTATGTGAAATAAAAGTTCAGCGTACATTTGACATAATGAATGTGTGTGGTTTTTTTTTTTTTTTTTAATTTTTTTTAGATATATATATTAATCACTATTCGTATTCGTATTCGGCCGAATAGTTGGTCCCGTTATTCGTATTCGGCCGAATAGTGAAAATCACTATTCAGTACAGCCCTAGTTAAAATACAGAATAAATAAAAGTCTTTAATTAATTTTGTGTTTTGGTATCTACTGTACTTATATAAAGAGACAGATTCTTTCGGTAGTTATAATCTTCCCCACTCAGGACGGCATGTTACACACTGGCTGGTGTAGTCTTTGAGGGTGCCCTAATAATAACTTATTTGTTGGTTGAACCGGGTATCAGGCATCTGCTTTGATTGTCTGCCGTCTAGACTGGGGTTTTTAAATTTCAGGAGGGTATCATAAATTCTTATGTAACAGTAAGGAAAGGACAAACAGATTGATGGATCGATTCTTAGCATATTCTGTACGCATATGACTTTAGCATGAAATGAAGTTTCTTGCGATACCTACGTAAAAAAGAAATTGTTACCTGTAATGACTGGTTAATATCGGAGCTCTCCAAGTTAAAAGCAATAAATGCTTTGTTGCCCCGGGAGAATGCGATCTTATAGTCGGCACCCGACCACCAGTTGGCAACATTAGTTCCTGCAGCGTTGTTACGGAAAGCCACCATGTTGTAAATCTGACGCCATCTAAAGAATATAAGCAGACCATATACAGTGGCGTACTTAAGGTAGGCCGGTAGGGCAGATGCACTGGAAGCCACTTGAAATGGCGACATAAAAAAAGTTGAAAAAATCGAAATGAAATGTCTACAACGAATCCTTAATGCAACAAGAAGAGAAAATTATTAGAAATACCGATATCAGGAAACACGTGGAAACATGTAATAAGACTACCACAAGACACTGTCCCAGACAGAGCCAGGCCACTTAGAGACAACTGGAGCAGTGCTAAAGGTCTCCCGCGCAACAAAATATACGACGGCGTGAATACCAGGACGCCTCTTCAAATCCTGATTCTGAGAGGCAGAACAGGATCTAGTGCAGGGATTGGCGACCTTGTTAGATCCGCTGGTCAAATTCAGAGTTACCAACATGGTCGCAGGCCAAAAAAAAAAAAAAAAAAATCCATAATAAAAATAACATCCACTTTTCATTTGTAACTGAATAATTTTGTGTGATAATCTAAGATGACAACGATTTGGCAACACCAGTTTCTGGTTATCACTGTTGGGTTATCACTTTTTTTTTGATATGACACTCTAAGTTTTTTTTTTCTTTCTGCCCTTCAACATCTGCTAAAGTCAAAGTGTTTGTCTCGCAACACCAAGATCAAAATATATAAAACGTTGATAAAACCAGTTGTTTTATATGGTTCTTAAACTTGGAGCACAACAAAAAGAAGTGAAGCCTTATTACAGGTTTTCGAAAACAGAACCATCAAAGAGGCAAACAGCGGTAAATGGAGAGTGAGAAGCAACAACCAAATTCATAATCTGTTTAAATCACCACTGATAACTGGCATCATGAGAGCTAATAGACTGAAATGGTTAAGGTATATTGAGAGAATGTCAGATGACAGAGAAGTAAAAACTGTATACACGAGGGAGATGAATGGGCGTAAACCACAAGGCAGACCAAGAAGACGATGGAGAGATAATATCCAGAGAGACCTGCAAACGCCAACTGGAAAGAGAAGGCCAACTAGAGAGATGAATGGAGGCGGGTGATATCTGTTGCAATGAACCTCAAGGGCTGAAGAAGAGAAGAAGCATACGAGTGTATGTTTTTGAGTTGTGCTATTTTGTGAGCTTAAGGGCCAGATTGTTCAGTAATTTTACACTATTCTCACCGGCCAGTAACATTGCTTGGCGGGGCAGTTGGGGTCAGCGAGCCATGGCCTGCACAACCCAGGTGTACAGACAATAAGGAAAAGACACACTGCCCTTTAGAAAGCATGTTGTAAAATGCGACTAATTCAGGATGAGTTGAGCTGAGTTGAGTTTTTGAGTTGAGTCAAGAAATGACATCACAGCACTCGGGGCACTCCCATGCATGCTCCGTCCTCATCTTCAGTAGCTGGTGCAGAGTTCCAATGCTCATTGTGAGGGTCACAATCTGATTAAAAGTCTGTCTTGCCTTTTCTCTGAGTGTAGTGAGCCGGCCAGACCCTCTGGTTACACCCAGAGAAACCAGTTGAGCTGAGTAACGTACCAACCGCACTTTTAAGAAAAAACGTAACTGCAGCAGCAGCAGCAGAAGTAGTAGTAGTAGTAGTAGTAGTAGTAGTAGTAGTAGTAGTAGTAGTAGTAGTAGTAGTAGTAGTAGTAGTAGTAGTAGCAGCAGTAGTAGTAGTAGTAGTAGTAGTAATAGTAGTAGTAGTAGAAGAAGAAAAAAAAAGAAGAGAGAAAATAAAAAAATGAGCATAATAATAATAAGAAGAAAAATCAGGAAAAGGAGCATAATAATAATAATAATAATAATAATAATAATAATAATAATAATAATAATAATAATAATAATAATAATAATAATAATAATAATAAGACTGTAAGACCAACAGACAACAGCATAATACAAGAACATCAATGACATGAACAACTTCACCTGTGTTCACAGCTCCAGCCTCCAGTACACGACATCCCACTATGACCCACTGTCTTGATGGTCATATCGTTATTGTGGGGCGGTCCTTCGTCGCTGTTGTCTCTGTTGTACTCGTAACTACTCATTATCCGAGGCAGACCATAAGGATGGGCTAGCATAAACGCCGTGGCCAACTGTGGGCAAGACGAGACAGTAAGAGTTGTACTGTAGACTTTTTTTAGTATCCAGAAGCCATGAGTTGTTTACCCCTAGGCTCGGTATTATGGATATCGAAAACTTTCGGCCTCGATTCCATGATAAAAACCGTAAATCTGGGGGAAATGTGGCTTTTCTACCTACCCCCGGGCGTGAACCCAGACCACAGGAAGTTCGTCACACAGTCACCGCGCAGTCGGGTTTAGCCAGTTACGCTAGCGACCACGGTGCTATATACCTTAAAGGGTAAATCGACTTAATTTCTCTGAGTTGTATCCCTTACGGCTCGGTCTCTCTCCGCTAAGAGATAAGCCGCCTGTCGAAAGCGTCGTACAAAGCACATTGGTCTCCTTAATGCACCCGTGAACTGAATAACTCAACCGGGAAAAGAACCAGGGACATTTAAAGCGCAATGAAAACGGTTTGATCAGTTAGCCAGTGAGATTATCTACCTGACCTTCACTAACAGTCATTGTCAAAGCAAGAAAATTATAGTTAGGCCTCGGTGAAGGCTAGGATCTTTTCACGTGGACTACTAGTAATTTTTCCTGGTCTCTGGGTAGTAAGATCGGACACCCGTGTGTACTCTTGTGCACGTAAAAAATACATTGAATACAGCTGGAAAAAAAAAACATCAACATCAAGGAAGATATTCTTGCTAACAAATTATTTTTGCCATATCAAGCGCTAGGGTGATTTGTAAAGAACAGTGGTGACGGGCATGATACCAGGAAAGAGGGACAAAAGCCGAAAATGGGCACCAGAAATAAAAGACATCAAGGGCAGGAAAGCGCACAAACCTGTAGAGGTCAGTTTCTTTCGGGCAGGCTGTGATGAGAGCGATGTTCTGTACAGGAGTTGCTACAAGAAGACGTCATCTTTATTTTTGTTCCTTCAGAATTTAGCGTCTTGCAAAACTTAGCTCCCCCACCTCTTTATTTTTGGCAAGTTAACACTCTTTGGTTAGTGCCTGTGTCTGTTTGTCAAAGCAGCTTACAATATTCTTCAGCTTCTTTATTCACCGGTTGTAAGCTTCTTCGGGAAGTGCTGGCTGTTCGTCCATTTTGAATTTGGCTTTGCGCCAGGGCCTGAGTTTGCATGTACATCTATTTTGCTGGCTTATTTGTGTGTAGATAATTGTTCTTTGCCGCTCGGCGGATGCACTCCGAATCTCATAATCTAAAATACCAGGTTTGAAACTCAGCTGCATGCAAATATTCAGTAGTAGACAACTGCGTTGATTTGGACGTAAGTATGTGCGTCGAACCGTCTAAAAAGCAAACTCTTCATCATCACGTAGCAGGTTATTTACATAACTTTACTTTCACCCCAGTCGGCTCTGTGACTAAGTCGATGCGAACGCTTCGTAATGCCGGGATGTCGGGCTCGATCCCAGCTGCGGGCGATGCGCCTTGCATTTGTTTCGACAGTGGTATTAAGAAAGCCGACCGTCTAGTAGCAATGGCAAACTACTGGAAGTAAATTTGCCAATAAAAACAACACAACAGCCAGGGTCTGGGATTGGTTCTGCAACGTCCAGTAAAGGATACGCATCTAACCTTATACTTTCATCACAGCTCGCCTAAAAAAAGAATAAGAAAAAAAACTTACATACACGCACGCGCACACACACACATATACACACAGGCGCAAGGGCACTCACACACGCAAGCACGCACGCACACACACATCTAACCTTGTATGGTTTGGGCTCCCAGTGCGTCAGCACAGTACCGCCACCCCCATGACCTCTTTGGTTGTCGTGGTTGTCCACAAAGTTGACCACATTGCCGCTGTCCCACATGCCCCAGCCAGTTCCCCAGTTAGTCAAGTATTTCAGTGCGTTCTGTTTTCTGTGGATACACGCAATATGAAGCTAATGAATGAGGCGGCCATAGGGAAGGTAATTCATTGATTAAATTTGGGCCAACTTCACAACAAAGTTTGGTTCTGTGCCAGATCGACATAGCATACAATGGGTACCGGGTAATGTCCTGGGAAGTCAAGACAGCCGGTGTAACATCAAACGACAAGTACCGATTATTCTCTACAAATTTGAGTCTATATGCTCTACTGACATAAACAACAAAAAGGAGCCGCATTAGCGCAGTCGATAGGAGACTCACTTTCAAATTCAGCTGCGACTCGCTGCAGCCTTTTGCCGGTGTTTGAAACCGGACAGTTCCGGGGTTCACCCAGCCTCTAGGAAATGGGTACCAGAGTTAACACTCTGTGGTAAATGGAGGAACGTCGCTGTAGCTACGGAGCTGCATGGGAACAGCGGCACCGATTCTCATCAGCTGTCCGTACTGGTGGCAGAACACTTATGGTTTATAACCGCGTGCAGTGACGCTGGTTAACATTTTCCGACTTTACCTCTACCTTTACAGGGATCCGGTCTATTATTCCATTCCGTTCTACTGGAATCCTTTCATGCAAGTTTCTATAGTCCCCCCCCCCTCTCCCCCAAACCCCTCTCCCCACAAAAAATTCACGAAGAGGAGGCTGGTCACTCACCTAAGCCTCTTCTGTGCTCATGGGGGATTGCGACCGGCAAAGGCGGATAAAAAAAGATTTGACTTTTTTTATTCATTCTTAGAGTCGCTGGGGTGGTCAAACCTTTATGTAGCAGCCCGGAGAGGGGAAAAAAAGGTCAAATTTACAGGGAGAAAAGAATTAGAGACTGAGATTAATAATATACAAGATTCCATGGTTATGCTATACCAAATTATATCTATTCCAACACGCCACGGGAGTCGCCGTGGCGTGACGCCCGCCTGCAGATCGGAAAGTCGTGGGTTCGCGTCCTGACGGAGCGGGACTTTTTTCAAAATTGACCTTGACTCCCAGGTCAACCCACCTTTGAGTGGGTACCAGGTGCAGTCCAGGGAAGTAAAAGCGGCCAGTTTAATGCTGACCACATTACCATCCAAGTGCTGATGGTCTATACAAATGTAGGTCTAGCCCTATATTCCCAAAACGCCCAATGGCGTTTAAAAGGGACCCCACTTTTTTTTTCGGACGACTTAATGAGGGGTTGACCATTCCAAGATGACGAAATCTTAGTTTGGATGGGGAAACCGTCAGGGCAAGCCCCAGCAGTGCCAATTCAACCTCTTAAAGAAGCTGTAACTTAAGCAACTGTAATTGTTGACTTTCTACCGCACCAGGACATCACACTAAGCGATAAACACCCGGTGACACAAGGTAAAGTCAGACACCACTTTTCGCTGATGACTGTGCTATCTGTCCCAGTATAGAGCCTAAACTACAACTTAGTGTAACAGCATTATCCGAAGCCTGTAAAAACTGTGGGCTTGTCATAAGAGATATCATCATCATCAAGTAGCATGTACTTTGCAGAACGTCGCTCTCATCACAGTCTGCCTGTCAGAAACTCGGTCTCTTGCCACTTCTCCCGCCTCATGAACTTTTACACTCAAGGAGTCACTTATATCCTGTGTCCATCTTCGTGTCAGTCGGCCCCTGTCCCTCCTTCATGGTACCATGCTTTCTGCTATAATTTTTTCCAATCCGTCGTGGCGCTTGATATGACCAAAATATTTCAGCTTTCGAGAAAGGATGCTGTTTATTAGCCAATCTTCCTTGATGTTCAGACATAAGAGATATAGCACAATTATATTGGAACACTAAAAACAGTAGCGAAGTGACATGTAGTCCAATATTGATAATTCTTAGCCAGGAACTTTATGTGACGAACTTATGCTAGTTGGTTAAAGGTTTGTGCTCCATTTGGTGATAATGATAACAGAGAAGACGATGCAGTTTACACACTATTAGGTTAGTTGCGTATCCCTTACAGGACGTTGCAGAACCAACCCCAACATCCCCTGGCTGTTGTGTGGTTTTTCTAGGCAAATTTACGTACAGTAGTTTGCACTGGACGGTCGGCTTTCTTGATACCACTGTCAAAACCAACGCAAGGCGCTTGGCCCGCAGCTGGGATCGAACCCGGCATCCCGGCATTACGAAGCGTTCGCATCGACTTAGCCACAGAGCCGACAGTTTATATACACAAATTTATTATGACAAAGAGAATGATTTGTTGTGCACAACTGTCTTCAATAAAATGCAAAAATTACCGAGAGCTTGAGAGATAAACAACACACTAAAAATGAGAAATGTCAACTGTTATGTATATACCCAATCTTGCTATATTTGGCAGAAACGTGGACAATGAAGGAGCAACTAGAAAATCCAACTGAGTCCCTGGAAATGTGGATATACAGAAGAATAGGCTGTATTCTTTATCTTCTTTTGCCGTTCTATCTCCCAAATGGAGCATAGGCCCTCAACCAACTCACGCCAAGTCGTTCTATACTTCGCCATTGCATGGAGCTCTCCCCATGTCCTCCCCATTTAACTTCATTCTCAAGCTCTCTTCTCCATGTGTTTTTTGGCCTTCCTTTATTCCGATGCCCCCGTGGGTTCCGATGCAAAGATATTATGCTTATGCTGTTCTCCTGTTTTCTCAGTGTGTGTCCAATCCAGCGCCAGCGTCTTTTCCTCACCTCTTGTAACAAAAAACAGTCCAATACAGAGGCTTTTGAAAGACTACAAATAAACTGAGCATTACTGAAAGTAATTAAAAAAAGAGACTATTAAAATACTTTGGCCACATTAAAAGATATAACACGCTGGTAAAAACCATACTGAATTTAAATGTCGAAGGCAAGAGAGCAAGAGGTAGGCAGCGATACAAGTGGGAGGACAACATCAGGAGATGGAGGGGCAGCAGTCTGAGAGAGTGTACAGCCAGGACAAAACACAGGGCGTTTTGGACTGATTAATTGATTCGTTGTAAACGTTGATAATAATGGCCCAACAGTTATAAAAAAAAATAGGTACCTGAAAAGTTTGGCTAGCTCCTGCCCAAACTTGAAGTTCGTAATTCTTCCAGTGCCGAAATACTGCTCGCCCTTTATGGGCTCCCCGCCTTGGTCAATGACCTCTTGGTATACGAAAGGTCGGCCACCACCACTGACGTCCTGCAGGAAGAAACAAAATATGAATCTAAAAACAGACGAGACAATTTAATTGTACATCTTTGAAATCACTTTGAATATCTAAGTAAAGTATGTAAGTAAAGGACGCTTTTCCATGCCTTAATGTGTATTGGGCATATAGGGCTAGACCTATATTTAAAAGACCAATCGGTGGGTGATGTGTTCACCATCACGCTGGCAGCCTTTACTTCTCAGAACTATGCCTACTACCCACTCATTGTTCGGTCGAGCTGGGAGCCAAGGTCATTTCTGATAAAAAAAAAAAGTCTGGCTCTGCCAGAACCAGAAGACGTAGCGTTTAACAGCTATACCACGATCCCTCTCATTTAAATAAAGTTAGTTAGTTGTGTATCCTTTACAGGACATTGCAGAACCAACCCAAGCATTTAGTGGATGTTGTGGTTTTTCTAGGCAAAGTTTACGTTCAGTAGTTAGCCATTGCCACTGAACGGTCAGCTCTTGGTACCACTGTCTGTCTGTCTGTCTGTCTGTCTGTCTGTCTGTCTGTCTGTCTGTCTGTCTGTCTGTCTGTCTGTCTGTCTGTCTGTCTGTCTGTCCGTCCGTCCGTCCGTCCGTCCGTCCGTCCGTCCGTCCGTCCGTCCGTCCGTCCGTCCGTCCGTCCGTCCGTCCGTCCGTCTTTCTGTTGGTCTGTCGTCTGTATGCCTGCCTCTGTCTGTTTCCACTTTCCTTTCTCTTTCTTTTATACACACAAACACATCACCAGTTGCATGAATTATATATCCTTCACATTAGAAGAACAATGAATAAATAAATGAAGAGTTGAGTTGAGTTGAGTCAAGAATTGACATTACAGCACTCGGGGCATACTCATGCGTGCTCCGTCCTCATCTTTAGCAGCCAGCGAAGGGTTCCAATACTGATGTTACCGGTCACAATCTGAATATATGTCCATGTTGCCTTTCCTCTGAGTGTAGTGAGCCGTCTAGACCCTCTGGTTACACCCAGGTGCCTCATTCTCTCCAGGCCATAATAAATAATCTTGTTTCTCTACTGATTCCGTTGCTTGTTCCCAAAGGGCCTTGCCCATATTTGCATTGTTAAATAAATGAAGCTGAAATGTCCTCATGATGATCCCCTTATCTCGAACTGTTGCCAATCACAGAATCCGATCATTGTATGTGTTCTGGGGTCCATTCTACGGGAAGAAAGAATAGATTCATTGTCCCAGCAATCATGTCACAAACTGTGACTTATTACTGCAAGCACCAACAGAACCAACACAATCGCAAGTAAAAAGCGAACACAGAAGAAGAAAAGTTCACCTTGACTTTGCCCAGAAAGGCTTGGATGTCGGCGGGCCACATGTGTTTGGCGGCGTCCATTCTGAAGCCAGCCACACCCAGGTCGATGAGGTGGTTAAGGAAATCGGCGATCTTGCCTCGAACATAGTCTTTGCCCACGTTCAAATCCAACAGACTCGACAAGCGACAGTTTCTGTTTTAAAGAGGGTAGAAAAACATTTTGTTTGGGGAGCACAAAGTTAACAACTCCCAAACTCTTTCTCACTCTCTCACTCACTCTCTCAAACACTCACACCACACCCACTCTCTGTCACTGTCTCTCTAACATCCACCATGACTCTGTTACATCCACTCTCTGTCACTGTCTCTCTAACATCCACCATGACTCTGTTACACCCACTCTCTGTCACTGTCTCTCTAACATCCACCATGACTCTGTTACACCCACTCTCTGTCACTGTCGCTCTAACACCCACCATGACTCTGTTATACCCACTCTCTGTCACTGTCTCTTTAACACCCACTATGACTCTGTTATACCCACTCTCTGTCACTGTCTCTCTAACATCCACCATGACTCTGTTATACCCACTCTCTGTCACTGTCTCTCTAACATCCACCATGACTCTGTTATACCCACTCTCTGTCACTGTCTCTCTAACACCCACCATGACTCTGTTATACCCACTCTCTGTCACTGTCTCTCTAACATCCACCATGACTCTGTTATACCCACTCTCTGTCACTGTCTCTCTAACACCCACCATGACTCTGTTATACCCACTCTCTGTCACTGTCTCTCTAACATCCACCATGACTCTGTTATACCCACTCTCTGTCACTGTCTCTCTAACACCCACCATGACTCTGTTATATCCACTCTCTGTCACTGCCTCTCTAACACCCACCATGACTCTGTTATACACACTCTCTGTCACTGTCTCTCTAACATCTACCATGACTCTGTTATACCCACTCTCTGTCACTGTCTCTCTAACATCCACCATGACTCTGTTACATCCACTCTCTGTCACTGTCTCTCTAATATCCACCATGACTCTGTTACATCCACTCTCTGTCACTGTCTCTCTAACATCCACCATGACTCTGTTACATCCACTCTCTGTCACTGTCTCTCTAACACCCACCATGACTCTGTTACATCCACTCTCTGTCACTGTCGCTCTAACATCCACCATGACTCTGTTATACCCACTCTCTGTCACTGCCTCTCTAACATCCACCATGACTCTGTTACATCCACTCTCTGTCACTGCCTCTCTAACATCCACCATGACTCTGTTATACCCACTCTCTGTCACTGTCTCTCGAACACCCACCATGACTCTGTAACACCCACTCTCTGTCACTGTCGCTCTAACAACCACCATGACTCTGTTACACCTACTCTCAATCGTTTTGGTGCAATTAACACTTCTTAGCCAGTATATTGTAGTACAAAGAAACCAGGTCACAATTAAAACCGATACTACTCGCAGTAGGTTGAACGTAATCGATTTTTTCCCCTTTATAAACGGATTCATATATGGATGGACTGTTTTAACAAGTTGGGAGAGGTTTACCAACATTCTTCAGGATCTGAATATTGAGGGACAGTGGCTCATAAACAGTTTGGTTTCCCATAAAATGAAAAATCTCAGTCATATTAACTCTTTGAGTCTTAATGAACGCATCATACGTTCACAGGTTACTGCCTAGAAGCCCAATGAACGCATAATGCGATGATTTTACGTCTCTCTCGACTACCCCTTGGGCCTGTGATGTTAAACCTCTGAGACTCAAAGAGTTAATCGTCATAATGGTTTGGAGAGAACAGAAAGATAGGGTATGGTTCCTGTAAGAAGAGGCAGAGGTTGACCAGCATGACGGCGGATACAGGATATCAGTTTGGGTATGAAGATATGACGACGCAGGGATATTGTCAAGGGACGGAAGGATTCAGAGGGTGTCTTGATGGGAGCAACATTCTGCAAAGAACTTGCTTTATGGTGATACAATCAGTCCGCAGGAGAAGTATAACTAGTTTTAGGTAAAGTGAAGGACCCTTTCCCACGCGTTTCAGGCGTACTGGGTAAATAGGGCTGGACCATTTTTTTTTAAAGACCAAATGCATAGGATTGGTTATTTGGTCAGAAACACGCTGTCCACCTTTACTTCCCAGGACTACACCTATTACCCTCTCAAGGCTGGGTCGACCTGGGAGCCAAGGTCAAATTTGATGTGGTCAGCATCATACTGGCCACCTTTACTTCCCATGTCAACCCAGCCTCGAGTGGGTACCGAGTGCAGTCCCGGGAAAGTAAAGGCGGCCGGCGAGATGCTGACCACATCACCCATCTTGTGCCGATTTGTCTAGAAAATTTAGGTCTAGCCCTATATGCCCTATACGCCTAAAGGCGTGGAAAAGGGTCCTTTACTTTTACTTACTTACTATATTTTATAGAGCAATCGGTACTATGCGGTCAACATGACACCGATGGTCTTTACTTCCCAGAAGTATCCCTGTTACTCACTCAAGGCTAGGTCGACTTCGGAGCCAAGGTCACTGTGACAAAAGTCCGAATCCTGGACTTTCTAGCCTCTACACCACGTCGGCTCCCCTTTACAATAATAATAATAATAATAATAATAATAATAATAATAATAATAATAATAATAATAATAATAATAATAATAATAAAAACAACCACGAAGACAACACGAGCATTGCAGTTAGAAATTCTTTATAAGCAGACAAAAACATGGACGCATATAATTATGTAAAGGACTACATATACTACAATAAGTCAAGATGTTTGAACAACGTCCGCTGGCTGTAGAAAAATCCGTACAATTGGAAGATAAACACTGCTTGAGTGTTAAGGCCTCGTCGAGTAACGGATAGACAACGAAGATGATGTGACAGGGAGTGTTGTATGATGATGATAATGATGATGATGATGCTGATGAGGGTGACGATGGTGACGATAACGATGATGAGAGGCTTATAAAGTAACTATTATAGTTACCTGACTTCCTCCGCGTTCTGGTAGTTATGTATGTCAAGATCAGAAGTATGACAGTCGCTGGCATCATTGAAGTCTGTTGGGCCATAGGGAACCCCGGGAAACTGCAAGCTACCGGCGTCGTACGATGTTCCTCCGGTTCCCTTGCCGGTTCCTCCTGCGCCAGTCATGTGGTTCAACACAACATCCACATAAACGCTGTCGACAAATCAGTGCGTTTCACACTTCCACAAACATTTCGAAAACTCCTTTACAGATCAGTTCGAATTTTACACGAGGCCTTAGATTTCTCCTGTCTTTATACATTTTATAAATTACCATTGCACATATACTGCTTTTTTTCCTGAAGCGGCGAATTTCTTTGATATTTGTTTGACTAATAACACCTGTACTTGACCATTTCACATTGAGACCCCTAATGCCATTGCCAGTTCATATATCTTCTTTCTTCTTTGCGGTCACCAGCTGTAAACTCTGGCTGAAAGTTCTGGTTGTTGATCCACTTCTGGACTGCAGACCTGTTCCAAAAACTGAGTGTTTGCGTGTGCATCCGTTTTACAGATCTGACTCATTTATGTGCAGACTGCTGGTTCCTTCCCTCTCATTCAGATGCACTCCGACTTCGAAGGAAGCTCCCAATAAGTCGACTCTTACGACATGCTTTTTGGTAGGCAGTGGGCCTATTCTTGTTTTCCCTTTAATAGGGCCCCGGAACCCAGACGGTGATAGTTCATATATAACATTAACTCTTTCAGCCCTAAGCAGATGTAAGTAGGTAAGTTGTACGCCATCGGGACATCATTCAAGCAATAAATACCCGGTGACATAAAGTGCCACCATGCGGATGAGGATCCCCAGTGGATAGAAACCCCGTTCGTCCGTTAGGCCATATTTAAGGCCTGGCTATATTTAGGGCCCCGGCAAAAAGCCAGGGTGGGGCTTCATAATAACTAAAAATTGCACCCCACATGGGGACGACAGTATTTCGCATACTAAGCAGATGTTAATTCAGCTCGTCGTTATTAAGACGTGGGAGTCCCTGTGGCGTTAGCGGCTAGACGCCCGCCTGCGGATCGGAAGGTCGTGGGTTCGCGTCCTGACGGAGACGAACTTTTCTTCAAAATGACCTTGATTCCTAGTTCGACCCAGCCCTGAGTGGGTACCAGGTGCAGTCCTGGGAAGTAAAGGCAGCCGGCGTGATGCTGACCACCAAGTGCCGAATGGTCTATAAAAATATAGGTCTAGCCCTATATTCCCAATACGCCTAGAGACGTGGAAAAGTGTCGCTTACTTTATTTTAAGATGGTGCTACTTCAAATACCAGATTAAAAACATGATGTAATGAGCTAGATAGGGGTATCTGGAGGTCTGAATCCAGTGGCGGCTCCCAGGTTTGATTAGTGGGGTGCTGATTCAGAAAGTTGTTTTTTATTGTTTTCATGTCGTGTAAAATGAAAACACATAAAAAGGAAACTTACATATATACTCGATTAAAAAAAATACATAAAACAAGAACACAACTATTTTATAGAAGCATTAGTACCAGCAGCAGCAGCAGCAGCAGTAGTTTTAGCAGCAGCAGCAACAGCAATAGTAGCAGTCGTATAAGTAGGGTTAGAAGTAGTGGTGGTGGTGGTGGTGGTGGTACTCGTAGTAGAAGCTAGAAAAAAGAAGAAATAACAATTGCTTGATAAGAAGGAGAATAAAAAAGAAGACAAATGTGAAGAAGAAGAAGAAGAAGAAGAAGAAGAAGAAGAAGAAGAAGAAGAAGAAGAAGAAGAAGAAGAAGAAGAAGAAGAAGAAGAAGAAGAAGAAGAAGAAGAAGAAGAAGAAAAAGAAGAAGAAGAAAGAGAAGAAAGAGAAGTAAAAGAAGAAGACGAAAGAAGAAGAAGAAGAAGAAGAAGAGAAGAAGAAGAAGAAGAAGAAGAAGAAGAAGAAGAAGATTAAAGAAGAAGAAGAAGAAGAAGAAGAAGAAGAAGAAGAAGAAGAAGAAGAAGAAGAAGAAGAAGAAGAAGAAGAAGAAGAAGAAGAAGAAGAAGAAGAAGAAGAAGAAGAAGAAGAAGAAGAAGAAGAAGAAAGAGAAGAAAGAGAAGTAAAAGAAGAAGAAGAAGAAGAAGAAGAAGAAGAAGAAGAAGAAGAAGAAGAAGAAGAAGAAGAAGAAGAAGAAGAAGAAGAAGAAGAAAGAGAAGAAAGAGAAGTAAAAGAAGAAGAAGCAGAAGCAGAAGAAAAAGTAAAAGAAGAAGAAGAAGAAAGAGGAGGAGGAGAGAAGAAGAAGAAGAAGAAGAAGAAGAAGAAGAAGAAGAAGAAGAAGAAGAAGAAGAAGAAAGGGGAGGAGGAGAGAAGAAAAAGAGGAAGAAGAAGAAGAAGAAGAAGAAGAAGAAGAAGAAGAAGAAGAAGAAGAAGAAGAAGAAGAAGAAGAAGAAGAAGAAGAAGAAGAAGAAAGGGGAGGAGGAGAGAAGAAAAAGAGGAAGGAGAAGGAAGACGAGGAGTATAAAAAAAAAAAAAAAGAAAAGAGGAGGAGGAGGAGGAGAAGAGGAAGCGTTTTACATAACACAGTTCTCACTTGACGCCAGCAGCTTTACATCTGGATACCATGTTCTTGAAACTGTTCTCATCTCCGCTCCGTGTAACCAGCTTGTAGCTGACCGGCTGGTAGCGCTCCCACCATGGCCGGTTGGGGCTTGTGACCACTCGGTTCTCGTTGGCAGGTGAGGTCTGTAGAGAGTGGAGACCACATGATGGAAGTAATTGTAATGTAATAAGAGGGGAAAACAAGGGCTGCCAACGCCCTGAGGGGTGAGAGGGGGGTAGGGGAGTGGTAGAGGTGAGTAGGCCCCTTACACATTTTCTGCCGATGAGATGAAAGCATTTCAAGGAGCATAGACCTTGTTTATATGCATAATAATAGTAACAATAATAAAAATCAGCATCATAATGCGCTCAATGCCAAATAAAGATAATTATACATTAGGCAATCACGAAAGCTGTAAACAATCTTCTAAACATAGTTAGTGGAGAGCTCAATCTCCTAACACTTTTGTCGCGTGTTTGGGGGGTGGGTGGGGGTGGGGGGGGGGGGGGGTGGGGGGGGGGGGGGGGGGGGGGGGTTGCGGCACTGAGCCCTCATAAAAATTCTTTTGGGGGGGGGGGGTGGAGGAAAGGGAGAACCCAGTGTGCCTACTTTCCTATGTTTCAGTGTCAACAAAAAAAAATAATATATTATGTGTTATGAGTTATGAACCCACATCACGGCACTTCGGATGTTCCCATAAACGCTCCGTTCTCATTTTCAGCAGCAAGGATAGAGTTCCAGTTCCGATAGCACGAATAACAGTCCAATTGTACGCCTGTCTCGCCCCTCCCTGAGTGTTGAGCGTCGACCAACCCTCCTGGTTACTTGTCTCTGGAGCATTCTCCTTAGACCAGGATGTTTGTGCCTCCGCAACGTCTACTAGCTCCTGAAGGGAACTTACAACCTCCAGTAATATATTAAATACACAACAGTCGTAGTTTTCGAGTATTACAATTCAAAGTAATAGTAAGTATGACAGTAGCCGTAGTAGTAGTTGTAATAGTTGTAGTAGTAGTTGCAAATGCACTAGTAGTGCTGCAGTAGTAGTAGTTGCGAATGCAGTGGTAGTAGTAGTAGTAGTGATACTAGTCGTAGTAGTAGTAGTAGTAGTAGTAGTAATAGTAGTAGTAGTAGTAGTAGTAGTAGTAGTAGTAGTAGTAGTAGTAGTAGTAGTAGTAGTAGTAGTAGTAGTAGTAGTAATGGGGATGGTTGTGGTAGTAGTAGTAGTTAAAAGAAGTTGCGCATCCTTCACAGGACGTCGCAAAACCAACCGCAGCAGCTTTTGTTCTTCTGTTCGTGGTTACACTAGGCAATTTTTAGTTCCGTTGTTTTGTCATTGCTCTCTAAACGTCAGCTGTCATTGCCACTGTCGAAACCAACGCAAGGTGATCTGCTGCCATATCGCCCGAAGCTGGGATCGAACCTGATAACATGGAGTTAGGAGTATCAGTATTATTATTATTATTAATAATAGCAGCACCAATAGGAATAGTAACAGCAGTAAAAACAGGAAAAAGTAATATACATGCCACAATGATTTAGTAGTGGTCTCGCATATTTCTAAAGCCTACCTGTACACCACAGAATCCATATGGTCCCAGGAAAGTCTCGCATTCTGTGGCTATGTCGCTCCACTTCCACTCAAACAAATGGACGATACCATCTCTGCCACCAATACAGTGAGGATCTTTGTACTGGGCACTGGCTATGTAGTGTATATTATTTTGACTATTAGTAATGCGCCAATGTAGAAACCAGGGGGAAACTACCACAATCTTATCCCAAAAAACATTTTATAGTTATGGATGTAAGTCGTGGACTTTATGGCAGTAATCAATGAAGAAAATAACTGCTTTTGAAATTCTTCTTCTTCTTCTTCTCCTTCGCGTTCGCCGGCTATAAACTCCGGCGGAAAAGTTCTGGTTGTTCGTCCACTTCTGGACTCTAGTCCTGTTCCAGAAACTGAGTGTTGCGTGTACACCCCTTTCATGCGTCTGAGTTATTTGCATGCATACTGTTGGTTCCTTGCCTCTCAGGCAGATTTACTCAAACTTCGAAGGAAGCTTCCAATTAGTCGACTCTTACGACATGCTTTTTGAGCAGACAGTGGGTCTATTCTTGTTGTCCCCACAATTGGGCCCCGAAACCCACATTGGGAGCTATTGAACTGAAATGGCTTCAGCATTCCGAGCCCCTGAGGTTCATTGCTGTAGATATCACTCGCCTCCATTCTTCTCTCTGGTTGACCTTCTCTTTCCAGTTGGTAACACTAAGTGTTTGCAGATCTCTCTGGACATTATCTCTCCATCGTCTTCTATGTCTGCCTCGTGGTCTACGACCATTCATCTCCCTTGTGTATACAGTTTTTACCACTCTGTCATCGGACAATCTCTCAATATGCCCCAGGCATTTTAGCCTATTAGCTCTCACGATGCCAGTGATCAATGGTCAGTGAATTTTGGTGTTGCTTCTTACTTTCTATTCCAAGTTTACATTTTTAATAGGTACAAAGATTCTTCGTAATACTCTGTTTTCGAAACCTGTGATAAGCCTTCATCAGTGTCCGCCTCGAGTGCTAGAGGTTCCGGGTTCAATCCCTGGTAAGGGCTGGGATTTTTTCACGTGGACTTTGACTTCTGGTAATTCCTCCCGGTCTCTGGCTAGTAAGATCGGACGCCTTTGAGCATTGTTGTACAAATAAAAAAAAAAAAAAATCCTTGGCGGTTGGGAATCGAAAAGAGTAGCCTAATAAGCAAAATTTGGAGTTTAAAAATCTAACAAAGTATTTCAGGATCCTCGCCGGTGCTACAGAGCTTGAGCTCAGACTTGAGTTAGAAGAAGAACGGAGCAATTATGGATTACTACCCGTGTGCCACGATGTCGATCCGTTGTTCAAACTTTAAACTTTCTCTTAAAACATGATTGAGAAATGACGACTGTCTTATTCTGATGCCTGTAATAGGTCTCTAGGTTCCCGACTCCTTCAAAATATCTTGGGAGCTCACTCACTCAGGCACTCCAGAAAATTTTAAGCCACGCAATTTAATAAACCGACAAATTATAGTAATTTCTAGGAGAACAAAATATAAATTGCAACGACAGAAACGCAACAGAAAACCTACCAGTGGTGACCAGTAAAGCAACAGCAAAGGTAGAAAAAAACATGCCCCTGTGTCGTGTTTACTTTCTATCTGCTGCTATGATTGTCCAGCAATTTCGAAATCTTGTCCTTTGCAGCCTGACAAAGTAAGACAAGATAAGAAAATTACAAATTTAACAGTTTTAGGGATGACCGATATATGAGCATTTTTATTCAGAACTAGTGTACCTAAAACGACTTTCGGCAATTTTTTGATGAATATGCACAGAAGAACTTCACGAAGTCAGCTTAATGCGAGGTGTGATTCAAATATTTTCAGCATTCAAACCAAAAATATAATTGATACACATCTTCAGACACACACACACATACACACTCTCTTTCTCTTTCTCTCTCTCTCTCTTTCTCTCTCTCTCTTTATCTCTCTCTCTCTCTGTGTGTGTGTGTGTGTAATTGCTTGTCCAGTTTTGCCGTCTGTTCCCTGCCATTTATTATTCTAGTGAAGAAAAAAAAAAAAAACAGAACGAAAAGTAGATCAGTGAGCTTCACAATATAACAAACACAAAAGAAACGTTAACATTGAGGCTATAGAGCCTTCATCAGCACATACATGAATCAAAGAAAACCACACGAACACACAAAATCACTTTACTGACGTGTCCCCAAGTGGCCACGTTGATGTCCTACCAGTGGAATCTGTTCGAGCGTCTGTCCGCGCCCCCTTTATCTACATTCTTGTCTTACTACCCATTCGTTCTCTCTTCATTCCCTAGAGTTAGTTTAATTGTGTCCCTAGTTTCCGTATCCGGTTGAAGAACGCTGCTTTAAAGAACTGGAGGACCAGTTACGAGGCGCACATGTAACGGTTGTAGTCGCTGCTAACACTTTTTATTGCCAAAGGGGGGAAAAGATCTATTTATTTTTATTGTTAACTCTCTACTATAATTACGCTACTCGGTTCACGTCTCGCAAATAGCGAAATATTTCTAGCTGGATACTAGTGTCCACCCGGCAGAAATTGTACCGTGAGAAAGTTACCAGTCCCTAATACTGCAATGCTAGCTGCGAGCGCATACTTTCAACAGCGAAGCGACGAGGATAAAATAATACGTGACACACACTTCTGGGTAATCGTGACCTGCTTACGTTTACACATGCGAATCTATTACGCATCGTCATTACAGAGGATATATAGGAATGGCTTAACACAGTGATTCCCAAACTGTGCGCAGCGACCTCTTCACAGGGGCGCGGCAAAATATTCGAAGATATAAGAGTTTTTTTTTTTTTTTTTTAAATCTCTTACATACAAATAGTCATACTTTTACTTAGGTTAGGGCGCAGTGGAAACATTAAAAAAAATTTGAAAATACAGAGATAATGAAAGCTGAGAAAAACTCCGAACTCTAAGCAAAGATAACAGCAATGTCAGATATAGGTCAGTTAAATTTGGATGTTTAAAGTCTCGAAGCAAGCAACATCTGAACTAAGGTCTTTCTGTCAGTTCTGGCAAAAAAAAACTATTTGAAATAATAGCGTCATAGGTTGCTTCAGATCCTTATATAGTCATAGCGTTGTTTTAGTTGAAGAATTGCGAAATGTGAAATACTGTTAAAATTCTTTTTCTCTCCTGCTCTCTTTCTCTCTCTCTGTCTTTCTCTATCTCTGTGCGCACACATGTGCAACAGCGCCTATCGCCCCTTTACTCTTTCAGGACCACATTTTTTCCGGGGTTTTGACAGCATTAATTTTAAGCGAATTTTTTTTTTTTTTATTACTGCAACACAACAAAGCTAAAATATTCCTGAAGAAAAAGTATTGGCTGTATCGGGACTTATAAATATATCACGGTAAAGATAAATAATTGCAGAATAAATTTAAACTATTTAAGTATCTGTATTACAACAAAATATTATTAAAATCACACAAAATTTAAGGATGTTAGACACATATGAATATTATTGACATAAAACATTTTGTGCTTACCTTACCTTTTTACTTGTTCAGCAACACTGCACATATCTTCTCTGTTCAAATATTTATTAGCTAGTCTTTTTTTTTTTTTTTTTTGAAACAATTAATTTAAATATTTGGATGTGTATAATCATTGTTGTATAACATGTCAGATTTCACAACAACCGAAAATCTGGAAAACAGCTGAACGAAACATTGATCCGATTGAAATATTTTGTTCAATTTTCATATCCTAAACTAAATTATCTCCAGTAGGTTAGTCATTTGGATATCAATTATATTATCAATAATACTGTCACCATCTGGCAGAGATTCATCAACGACAGAGCAGTATAAACAGTTCTAGACCTTTTCCTTTATAATTTAGTATGGAAAAATCACGCACAACCTGTATCACATCTAAATATTTTTTTTTTTTTTAAATCAGAAAATGATGCAAAAGCCACGCGGAACATTGCAAAAAAAAAAAAAAAAAAAAAGGTCTTCCTGTTAGTATTCTTAATTTTTCAAAAACTTGTCTATTAAATTTCGTTTCCCTCTCAAACGGTACAAAATTAGAGTGTCTCTATGATACGCCAGTATACTAGCGACTAGTCCGATAAGGATAAATTTATTCGCCAGTTTACTGGCGAACAGTCCTGAAAGAATACGCAATGAGAAACCGCAAAATCGGCACACCCGGTTGGGCCCAATTACCTGAAAATGTCACTGTTATGACTTGTCTATTGTGACCTGTTTAGGAGTCGCACAGTCAATTCTATTTGTATCTATCGTTTAGTTGATTTTCACTATACTCTGAGCTTCTTCAGACTCAGACTTGAGTTAAAGGAAAGAACAGAGCACTTATGGGTGACACGTGTGCCATGATGTTGATCCGTTGTTCAAACTTCAAACTTTACTATACCCGCATAGACCAACGTGTACTACTACTGAGTACTACGTATATTCTTTTTCCTCATTGTTTCAGTTCACAAGTTCACGTATTATGTAATATAAATAGACATTGTTGTCTATATAACAGATATAGCCAAACGTGGCAACAAGTCATTTGACTTTACATATAAATAGGTGCTCAGAGAAAGAGAGGGAGAGAGAGACAGAGAGAGAGAAGGGGGAGAGTGGGAGGGAGAGAGATAGAGGACAGAGAAATGGAGAGAGGAGACAGAGAGATGAGAAGGAGAGAGGAAAAGGAGAGAGGAGAGGGAATGAGGTGAATAAGAGAGGAGAAGAAGAAGAGAGGAGAAGGAGAGATACAAGGAGAAGGATACAGTAAATAGACAGTTGGCGGGTTGGGGGTAATATACGCGTGTTTTGTCCTGTTTTTTCTTCATCTCACATAAAAAGAAAACAGTATAGAAATGAATGAACAAATGACTAAGTGAATGAGTGAATAAATGAATTATTGAATAAATGCATGAAGTGTTGACATCTATGCACTCAGGACATTCCCACACGTACTTCTTCCCCTTCCTTAGCAACCAGTGGGAAACCTTCCATAGTGACGGGACCAGACAAACCGTGACTAAAATTTCGCTTGTCTCTTCCCTGCATGTTCAAAACCTTTCAATATTCTGCTCAGTCGTCGCCCAGTTGAAAAAATGAAGCAATAAATCTCCGTGTTGTTGTTGTTG